TCTAGAACCATAAAGTCACTGACTTGGTGACTTTGCATGTCCCCAAAGGACCCAACTTCAAGATATAACACTTTACTTTCACTAAATGGACATAATCTCATGCATGGGTGATTCTAAACCCTAAAGGTGTCAACTTTATGGACTTCGAAACTCAGAAACACCAAGAGTGGCAACTCATAGCTCCTGGAGTGGTGTCAAACCACTAGATCTCATTCATGGGGCCAAAAAGGGTACAAAACTGATATATACTAGATCTAAGCTTCTAATTAACAAGATCATAGCTTTTTACCTCAAACAAGCTCGAAATGGAGTAGAGAATCAGGATCCACATGCTCTTCCTTGATCAACCACCTTGTACCAAACTCCTTCTAGATAATGGACCAAAACACACCAAGAAGCACACAATGACCTTAAAAACGCAAAGGAAGGTCTAGGGTTTCGAATATGAGGCTATAAGGTCAGTGGAGGCTGAGAAATGAGGGTAACGTGAGCCATTAATGTGATTATATAGTGTCCAACCCCTAAAATTAGGGTTTCACTAAATGACACGTACGCCCCGCATACGTGTCTGGTGTCCCGATCCCACCGCGCATGAGTACGCTAAGCGTACCATGTGGTACGACCCGCATACTCACTTTATAGCTTGTACGCGAAGCGTACCATGTGGTACGCCCCGCGTACTACATAAGGACCAAAAATGAAACTTTTCAACAATGAAGGGAAATAATGAAACATACCAGGATCAAGTGTTACAGACCAGAATCATCTCACGGAGAGTTTAGCACTTATTAGTTACCACACACTCTCGAATCTCATCTATCAACATAGTACTATACTTGGACATCTTCATGGCTTCACTATCCGCATAATTTGGACGTACCAATGACTTCTCATCGAACAACGTTGTTATCTCATTCACAGACTTTGTCGTCTGTCCCTAGTAATGGCACCAAAAACTTGATGAAATAAAAGATACAAACTTGAAAATAAAATCTAGTTCTATATTTATAATTCCGAACAAACAAAACTGACTGTCTACATCAAGTAGTGTACCTGATCAATAAGAGTAAAGCTTAGATAAGTAAGGGTGTCGAACACATGAGGAGCATAAGTGTACTAACATTTGATTCTAAATTGTCTACCAGCAAGGATAGCTCTCTTGGACTCAGTCTATTATGTTGATTTATGAAAGATTCAACTGGTATAATCGGTCCCATGATTAGTGGAAACCTATCAAATTTTCCATGTTAGTGGATCAATCACAAATATTAATCTTAACTTTATTTTGTTTAAACTAGGGACATGGCCTTCCACTTGTCACCATTACATACACTTTTAATTCAGTTTTCCAGCTTTGACAAGTTAATAAACAATGTAATTCAGGATACATAATCTGCACCTAATCATAAATCGTCCAGTCAGTTACAAAAATATAAAAAAATCAATGGCAATACATATGTATCTCTAACTGAGTAAACATAATATATTGAATAAGGAACTGTTTGTTTTTATAATAAACCCCCCCCCCCCCGCTTTCGGTTGCACCGTGCAGAACACACACAACATTTGGCCTTTAGCAATTTTTTGTTTTTTTAAAGACTTTTGACTTAAAAATCGTTGTGCATGTACTTTTCTCACTTTACTTTATGTCATATTATTTAACATAGAATTGTTTTATTTTTATCAACATCTTAATTATTTTAATAATATTATGAAGGATATTACAAACATTTCAAATATACTTTACATAATTTCAAAACCGTTGGGTAATTATAGAGAGAAAAGTAATCATATTGATAACCTAATGGTTTCTTCTCTTGATCTGCAGATTTCTTCATCTATATCAGCATGTCGGCTAATAAAGCCTTCTAGACTCTCAAAATGGCCTCCTTGGGACGTTCTCTTCTTATTTCCTGAATTTCTTATGATGTCACATTCGTTGGAAGAATAGGAGGTTCTATATATAGCTTTTCTGAAAGGGCCCAAATCATGGCACTACAATATATTCACCACACGATTTACGAATACTCTTAAATATATTCGAAATCTTCTTTAATTATAGAATTATCCTTAATTAAACTTTTCTTAGTCTCAAAGGTACAAATTTGTTCCAGAATATGCCTTTATATCTTCATAATCTTCAAAGTCCTTTCAATTTTTTAACTCCAACTTTTTTAGTCGGACTTCATGGCCGAATTTGGACTATATAGAAGTTGAATTAGCAAAAAAAAAACCCCCCGCACATGAGTTATAGAAAATGTTCTCTATTTTCTAGAATATTTTTGACTTATTCAATCGGAGTTACGAATCGGAAGATAATTCCTAAACATGGCAGATGGATCCATCAGTGAATTTATAATTTAGCTAGCATTTTCCTGTTTTGCACCAACTCATCAATTTAACTCCATTTTAGCTTGTTTTAGTTTCTTTTCATCAACATGGACTTTTTACATACAAAATCTAAATATAAAGGGAATAAGCATCTTTTTTCCTATTTTAAATATAAAAATACCCATGAAATATCTATAAAAACATGTATAAATTAGCACATATCAAAATACCCCACACTTGGCTTTTGCTTGTCCCCAAGAAAAATACAGAATACTTTAATTTCGATTTATATTTTTCATTATATAATATAAACCTATTCTAAACCCAACAATTTTATTAAGCTTCAATGCATATATTTGTGCAAATCCTAATAACTCTCCCAGTTTAAAATACTTACAATCTTCATAAATGCTCCACATTTAATTAGAACAATACACAGTTTTACATCCCTTTGAATATACCCTTGTTAAAGAATCCTTAACCTCAAGGTATTTTACCAAGTTCTCATACTTTAGATACTATCCCATAATGATGTTTCTATTTGACATTCCACTTTCAACATTTCCTTTGTACTTAACTCTCTCATTGATATAACTTTATTGCATATAGTACAAAATTTACTAACTTTAACTCGTGACTTTCTATAAGAGATTTTTGGATACATGTTGTTGTTCATCCCAAAGGCCACTAAAAGAAGTCAAAGACTTTCTATACAAACCATGTAATGAGAATTCTACCATATGATCCTTTACCATATGGCTCATGGACACCAGCCATTAAATTTCGTAAAGACTCTACTAACTCGAATTCTAAAAGCCAAAAATGGACTTCTCCACTTGATCTCAGCTAGAAATATATTTTTTAGGTAGGGGTACATTTCATCAAACAATGCAAAGTATATATATATATATATATATATATATATATATATATATATATATATATATATATATATATATATATATATATATATATAACTTTGCATTGTTTGATGAAATGTACCCCTACCTAAAAAATATATTTCTAGCTGAGATCAAGTGGAGAAGTCCATTTTTGGCATATATATAGTATCCCTCATACCACAAAAGTTCATATTTTTGTTTCATGATTTCATTAAAATAGGAAAGCCACAGATATATTATAACATATCCACAAAATAAAACCTTGGGATTTATTTCACATTATCCTACATAAATTTATTAGCTTCATTTAATTAGTTTTTTATTTTCACTTAAATTTCATCTATATAGCTTTTTGAAAATTTTAATCATTTATATTATATATATAACCTCCTACCAAACACTTAAATCATACAACGCCCTCATTATATACTTAATAAATTAAAGAATAAATAAGGGAGAAAAAAAGGAGCATACTCCCCTAGGATAGTGGCAATATTGAATCCAACTCAAGTGTGTTTCTTCATAATCGTCGGTTCTTGGTTGATCTTGTAAGTCTGAATTGGAATTGCATGTCTTTTTCGCTATTATTAGGGCTCCATAATGCATTCTTCAAGTGGCAGTTTCATCGTATTTCTTGTGGTTAGCTAGGAACATGAAAAGTGAATATTCATGATTGTTGGGAATTTCTTCGCACTTCTGATGAAGGATCGTGACGCGATCTAGATGGCCACGATGCAACTCATGGTTGTACACGAAATTTATGTGTTTTGGTGTAACACCTGTTCCAGGTATTGATTAATTTATATGATTTTTAGGGTTTTATGAATAGACTCAGTGAGTTGGGGTGCTGCAACTCGTCGAGTAGAGACTATTATGAGGACGCTGGATTCGGGTTCTACTCGACGAGTCGGAAGGCGCCGACTCGACGAGTAGCAGCTGTAAAGAGAAACCATAATTTTTAGGGTTTGCACCCTATTTAAAGAACATAATCCCCCTCTTGTGGCCTCCCTTATCACTCTATTAGCCAAAGAAAACCCTAATTCGACCTTGTACCTTCTTGAGTGAGAGTAAGAGCTTTTGTTAGCAATTTTGGGGTATTTGTGAAGGATTCTAGAGCTTGAAGAGGAAGGAACAAGGAGAGAAGAAGTAGATCCGACATCTACTCTCTATTGACCATCATCTTGAGGTATAAAGTCGTCACCTTGATCTTTAGTTGATTAGATCCCTTTTCTTGGAAGTAAATGACCATTTTTGGGTGCAAAATGGAGTCAAACTCGGATCTGGACTTATCATAAGAATATGGTTCAAGATCTGGACCTCTCTAGGTCCCCAATGACGTAAAGTTGCCCACTTTATATAGCTTCACTACTAGAAAAACAACATTTTACGATGCGCAATTTATGACACACACGGATTTACGATACGCAAAAGTGTGTGACGTAAAAATAATGTCATCTCTCTTAAAATTTAAAGGATTTAGGACACGCATTTTTGCGTGCCCTGAAACTAGTGTCTAAAAAAAAGACGGAGAGCACCTATAATAAAATGTGTGTCGTCTAAGGCTGTCGCTTTATAAATTTTAATAGCAGGCGCATTCCATCCGGAGGGAAAAATGAAATCCCAAAAACTTAAAAACCCCGCCTTCCTTTTTTAGGGCTTTTTGTCAAGAACTTGCCCCGGCCTCCTTCCTCTACTGCATGTTCTCTCTTCAGTTTCCCATTCTCTCTTTATCACTTTGACAAAAACCCTTTCTCTTCTTCTCAGTTCTCAACGTTGACGGCTTCTCCCACCTTCGACGTTTCTCTTGGCGCCGACACCTCCCACCTCTGACTTCCATCCAGCCCCGCCTCGCCGTCCAGCGCTTTCTAGCGACACCCAACCGGTGGATCCCCTCCTCTCCGGCACTTTCCAGCGATACCCAGACGGTGGAGTCCCTCCTCTCCAACAGAGAGAGACACTGCCGGTGTCTAGTTTCATGAGGAGACTGCGACTATCACAAAATGTATCAAAATTTCTTGAGCATGCACTGTCATGATGGGCAATATTAGTCTGCTGCTGAGCTACATGCTAGAGCTCAAGAGGTTGGTTGTTTTAAGTCATATTTTCCTAATTTGATAGAAAGTTCATATCTTTTTATTATTGAAATTCTATAAATATAAATTTTTATCTCCATATTTGTGTCGTTCTTTATCCTGGGGATGCTACAGAAGAAGGAAAACTTCTTAGACTAAAGCAACAATTTTTCCTATGCGGTGCATCATTGCAGGTTTGACATTATTTTTATTTTTCATTTGTAACAACTGATGATTTATAAGTATTAAAAGATAAGATAATAGAGTCTGAATGTTTATGTTTTTTAGGACATTATTTCAAGATTCAAGGAAAGAAAGGAAGGAAGAAAACGGGAGAAATGGTCACAAGTGTTGACCAGGGCTAGGGTGGGATGAAGCCTGGGATGTGACTTCAAGGTGATTTATAAATTTTATTAAAAAAAACATGTTACTTTTTGTTTTTGACCTTAAATAATAACAAAGAGGTTGTTGTTGAGTGTTGACCGGGTCAATTGCCTATACAAATCACATTGTTCTTCCTGAGGCATTGGAGAAATGGTCACAAGTTGTGATGTCAAATAAGCCGGTTGTCCGCATGGCAAACTTGTGTGTGGTTTCTGGGCATACGGTAAGATTTTTGAATACTATAAATGTAGGAAAAACCAACTAATTTTATCTAATATTTTTTGTTTTTTTTGAGGGATAGTTTAGGCTCCATCAATTCAGCCCATTTGTTTTTATCTGTTTTGCCAGGTTAATGGTGTAGCACAATTGCACAGTGACATCTTAAAGGCTGAGTTATTTGCAGATTATGTGTCAATATGGCCAAACAAGTTCCAAAATAAGACCAATGGCATTACTCTTAGACGTTGGCTCAGATTTTGTAGTCCTGAACTTAGTCAGATCATAACAAAATGGTTAAAATCAGACAAGTGGGTCACTAACCTAGACCTACTTGTGGGTCTGCGGGAGGTATGTTGTTTTCATTTTCTTTCTATTATTATGTAAAAATGACCAAAATGCCCTCTATTCAGAGGATTTACATATCTCCTGCTGATTGTTATATCTTATCCTCTCTCTCCAAAAGTTTGCTGACATCCAGAACTTAAAGCTGAATGGGATTCAGCCAAAATAGCCAATAAACAGAGATTAGCACAGTACATACTGAAAGTAACAGGTGAAACAATTGACCCAAATACCCTTTTCGACATTCAGGTGAAGCGCATCCATGAATATAAAAGACAATTGTTGAATATATTGGGTGTTGTTTATAGATACAAGAAACTAAAGGTACGTATCTTATCCTATCGTTTCTAGTTAAGTACTGAATAGATAGATAATCATAATCATAGTCATAGATGAAGATACTAATACCATTCTGTTAAGTACTAAACATTGTGTTAATGCAATGCAATGCATGTTGAAACAGGAAGTGAGGTTTTTGTGTCACAATTACAATGTATCTGTGGCAGAGGTACTTATACCAGGAAGTGAGGTGTCACAACATAAAAGTACAGCTAGCATGGAAGCTACTGGTACAAATATATGTAAATGTTGTCATCACCGTTACAGTCACTCAAGGCTGCTGCATACACACTTGAGGTGAGTCATAGCTGTTTGTTAATTTATTGTTTACTTGATTTTATTTTATTTTATTTTTAATTTGTATATTTATTTTTAATTTGTATATGTAAATGTTGTCATCACAGTTACAGTCATTCAAGGTTGCTGCATACACACTCGAGTTTCCTGTTATTCTAAGTATGTAATTCATGTCCTTTTGGCTTTGCGATTTACACATTTTTCTAATTCAACCAATTGTTTTGTAACTTTGTTCATTTTTCACAATGAAACAGGTGAATGGTGGGATAGAAAGGTCATCAGTGTTTTACGATGAATGCCATAAATTATTGTCATTATTATTTGTTTTTTTGTGATGTTAGTGTTGGGAGAACATATGTATTCAGATATCGAGCAGATGACTGCCTCATCTGTCTTGGGTCACGCTCCATATTATTGCTTGCAGCAGAAGCAGAAAGTGGTGTTGATTTGCATTTGCTGCTTGGATTCACCTCTACATAAAATGTAATTTGTGGAAAGGTAATGTCTGCAACTTCCTAACAAAAACAGGACCTATTGGAGAAATGTAATTTTGAATTATTTTATTTTTAGATATGAACTTTAGGGTAGAAATGTAATTTTGAACTTTAGGGTAGAAAATTAATCAATAGACAGTTTCTTCATAAAAAAATTTTCTTTCGAATTAACCACTGAGACATGTTAACAATTTGTTGGATAAAGGCAACTCTTTTGTGAAAATGGTATCTACTTTCATCATAAGCAGATGCTTAATTGTTGCAATCAACAGCCCCAATCATCACATACTGAGAAGGGAATAGAAAATGACTTCCTATTAGCTCTTGTTATTTTATGCATTCAATATGTTCTTGCTATATATAAACATTAAATCTTTTTGTTTTTTTCAAGTTTTTTGCAGATATACAAGTGTTGCATTCTTCATTTCATTTTTTAGTTGTACTACTAATGATGGAAGTTGCTAATAAAGGAAATGGAAGAAGCCGCATGAAATAGATTTTTTGTATGAAATTAACACAGTAGATTAGATTAATGATAATTTATATATTGTAAGAAATAGAATTGTATGACATTAAATTTTATGAAATGGATTGTATTTTTTGTATATGATATTTTATTTCTATTATGAGACATTAAATGAAAATTTAATTTAAAAATTAATAAATATATAAATATTTTTTTTAAACATTTAAATTTACGATACGCAAAAATGTGTGTCGTCTTCATTTATGACATGGCCTCTCTTGACATGGGTTTTAATGATACGCATTGTGTGTCATAAATGCGCGTCGTCTATAGACGACGCGCAAAAGCGTTTCGTCTCTCGTTATGATAGAGCCTTCCTTGACGTGCATTTGCACGTCATCTAAGCGTTTTAGGACACACATTGCGCATCGTAAAAGGTTGTTTTTCTAGTAGTGCTTAACCACTTTTCATGCACAAAAACCATGTAAGAAGCCTAGTTTCGATGTTATGGCCTTGAAGGGCCTTGCATGCACGTATAGTTTGCAACTTTATGTGGTATCTGCACTAGGAGAGTTTGGATCTGGAGTTTGGGATCTTAGATCCCACTGAAAAGGGCTGAACTTGAGACAGACTGAAGGAACTCGTCGAGTCCCTTAGCTGACTCGACGAGTCGGGGTAGGGTTTGCCCGTTTCCGAGTTTCTGGATAAGTGCAGTGAAGGATTAGCGTTTTGGTCTGAATGGAATTTAGTTTTCTGTATATTTGATGAACTCGACGAGTTACTAGGGTGACTCGGTGAGTTGATGCGGGATTCAGTGGAATAAAATCGGGAGGTTTTCGACGAGTTGCTAGGATGCACTCGACGAGTTGAGGTCAACATGGACTGTTGACCATGACTTTGACCAGGGTTGACTTTGAGGGTAATTATGGGATTATGACAAGTTAATCACATGTTGGTTATAGGCAGTGAGGAGGAGCAGTGCCTGGGATACATCTGATCTTAGCTATTCAGCTCAACATTCGAGAAGCGAGTCTCCTCACCATACCAATGGGTCTAAGGTACCAAGGCCGGCCCATTTTATGATATGTGGTATCTTAGCTGAAGTTTTATTATGTGGCATGTTAGTTGGTATGAGCTAGGAAGTATGCTAGTGGTATATGTGGTATGTTGTATGGAAGACCACGGGAGAGCCCATGACCCATGGATGTAAGACCATGTAGAGAGCCCATGGCTTTCCTATTGAAGACCATGGGAGAGCCCACTGCACTTAGGTGTAAGACCATGTGGGGATCCCATGGCATCCTGGAGTAAGACCCTGGGGATGACCCATGACATCCCTATTTGTTGTATGCATGGCTTATGTGATATATATGTAGCTTCTATAACTAATATGATATGTGTTATGTGGATTGGGTGTCGGGTATGCTCTGGGGAACTCACTAAGCGGTAGCTTACAGTTTGCCGATTTGTTTCAGGTACATCTAAGCCCAAGGGCAAGGGCAAGGCTTGATGGTGCGATGTGCACTCTCTCTCAGTCGTTAGGGACACTCTGATGTTTTATAAATAAAAAAAAATTGTTATGAAACTGAAAACAATTGTATTGTGATTACATGATTGATGGAACGTGTTTTGGTTAATTAAAAATGAAAATTTTATTTTGAAAATAATTTGGTCGTTACAAGTAGGTATCAGAGCCTTGGTTTGAGGGATTCAGGCACACTCTCGGGTGTGTCAGGACTCAAACTAAGGATACGGTAAAATTGTTTTCAAAAATAAAATAAAAGTTAAAACTTTTAAAGGTTGGAAAAGATGAGAGTGAAACGCGTGTGATTGGCCGAGCCAAGTAAGTAGTTCCCTAATATGATTAGCCATGTTATATTGATATTTGAGCTATGATAATCATATGTATTTTGCTATGTGTATGCTTTTAAAGTTGGATACAGTTAGGAGCTTATAGCCTTAGAATGATTGATTTGGCCTTATTTCATGTTCTTTTCTTGGTTGTGGTCCTAGGGTAGAATCTCTTATTTGAAAGTCTATTTGATCCTTTTCTGTGTATAATTTGCATCCATATAGGCAACCTATTATGATTGGTCTGATCGATGTGAGTAGAGCAAATCTTAGGATAGCCTGGGATTTGAGATATGTAATAGTCTATGGGATATGATTTATTTTTGGAACGAATTAGAGTTAGCATGTAGAGCCTTGGGGAAGGTACAGGTAGGTGTGGAAGATAGTATTGGACCCATACTACTGAAAGCACAAGACCTATGCCCGAACCAATGTTAGATCTGTAAGCTCTAAGGAGGACCGGTGTGAGAGAATCCTCCAATTATGTATCTTGATTATTATGACTCATGATATTTCAGTTCAGCATGGTGGTGACACGATTTGGAGGACGGGGATCAGGATCGGGTTCTGGATCCGGGTCGGGCAGTGGTACTGAGCCCATTGATGAGAGGCTACACGAGCTCGTTATAGCCGAAGTGACGAAGGGCATCCTTGACGCTACCCCAGTGATCTTTGGGACATTAAAGGAGGGTATGATGGAGATTATGGAGGAGAGGATCAGGTCATTCAGAGTCGAGATTGCTGCGCGCCAGGTCGGGGCCCGAACTCCCTCGTTCCGGGAGTTCAGGGTATGCGGGGCGCCAGAGTCTTTAGGGGACAGGGACCCGCTTGTTAGCTGACGCTGGGTGGCGGATATTGAGAACACCCAGCGCACGAGTTCTTGCCCTGATGCGGAAACGGTGGGTTTTGCTTCATGTATGCTGAGAGACAGAGCCCGAGATTGGTGGGGAGAGGTGACCAGCCAGGTAGGAGCAGCCGGTGCGGCTGAGATGGCATGGGCCGAGTTTGTTCGGAGATTCGATGCTGAGTTTGCACCACCTATTGAGGTGCAACGGCTTGTGAGGGAGTTTCATGACCTTCAGCAGACCACCGAGACTGTGGCGTAGATCACCGCCAATTTTCGGGAATGAGCCTTGTTGATCCCACAGTACGCTATGGATGAGGATATGAGGCGGACGAGATATCATTCCATGCTGAGGGATGCTATCCGGGAGTTTGTTAGCTTTACAGGGTGCAAAACCCTGAACGAGATGGTGGAGAAGGTCTGTGAGCGGGAAATGGAGTTGGACTTCCGCACCATGCGGAAGTCTGAGCAGGAACAGACAGCAGTGGGTCAGGCTAAAAATCCTAAGACCTCAGATCCTTCTAGCAGGGGCCAGCAGGGCCGTGGCTAGTATGCCAAGTGCGGTAAGCCGCACAGTGGGGCTTTTCGGACGGCAGGCTCGGGATGCTATGCATGTGGCCAGTCGGGCCACGTGATCAGGGATTGCCCCAAGAAGGGCTTGATTTGTTTTCACTGCAACTAGACCGGCCACAAGCGTGCCGATTGTACGAGGTTGTAGGGAGGGGGTGGA